ATAACCAGAGAAAGTGAGAGAAGGGGGGCCATCAGGAGCTAGCCAAAGGGGCTGCTAGCTTGTGCTATGCTGCAGCCTTTGTCCTACTGAAACTGTCCACACAATGGAGTTGGGTTACATGCTGACCTGGCACTCTAAATATGGGGCTGGGATAGAGATTCCACATGGTAGAAGCAGAGATGGATGGCCACCCAGCCCCTCAGGACCATATCGCTGTTCAACCACATTGTAATTGTTAGAGAGGGTGGTCGATACTAAATCATAAATCATGTTTATATCAGATTAGTTCATGAATCAGTTCATTTATACTTTAAGGCAGCCAACTTGTGTATATTGCTTGGGCATATCTCATCTGATCCTCGTACAATCCTGTATGGTCAGTAGATATTTTTATGGAACTCAAACTTGGGTTATTCTTTAGGTCCTGGTGTTACAGGCTGGCTAGGGAGTAGCTTCAGAAAGGTAGTGGGTAATCACATGGGACCCACTGTGGAAAAATGAAGCAAGACCAGTAGCTCTGCCTGAAGAGTCCCTAAGCTTTACAGACTCACTTGATCCCTAGTAGTGTGGATTATGCTTCCTATGGCACCTCTATGGGACAGAAATCGGGCCTTCTTTATTGAAGAGGGGAGTAAACTTAGGATCACTAGCTCCAGGAATATAAATAGGTTGAAAGGCTGATGGTTAGTAACCAAGAGATAACTCAATCAAGTGTAGAGCTAGATGAGACTCCAGGATGTTTACTACCACAAGCCAGTAAGACTTAAAATAACTCTAACCACCCCAAGTTTCTTACTTTACAAATCCCTTTTATCCATTTCTGCAGTTCCTAGTGGAAAAAACTTCAAAAATGTTTATATGTTTACTTAAGGCTGGAAGAGAGAAAGGTGGAGAATCTAGAAGTAAACTTCGTTGGCAATCCTTGAAAAGAGCCCCAAATACAAGAATAGAGTAGAGTGGTAGCAAAAAAGTGAACGAACTAGCCAGAAAAGAAGCCAAAGATGAACTAGGGTGTGTCCTGGGTGATCCCGAGTGCTGACCCCGAGAATCCCCTGCACTCCCAGGCAATTCCTCACAGGTGCTTTCCGTTGCCCATTCCAGTGGCCCAAGTGCTCTTTCAGCATTGGTACCTTCTCACTGGTTGACTTTGTTTCTGGTGAGGGATGGGAATGGCCTTACCTCCCCTTCCCCGGAATTCTTTTCATTGTCTTCCAGATCCACACATTAGCTTTCCTCTTTACCTCTCTGGCTCCTGAAAGCCAGGTTCATAGAGATGATTAGGGAGTGAAAGAATGAGTCTCTCCTTTCACTGTGAGTACCTCTGGTTGACTGAAGCCATTATAAGCTCCAGCCCCTCACTCAGTGAGGCTGGGGTTGAAGGGCTAAGGAGGAAGAAAAGCTTGGTAGGAGAGAGAAGCGCTGAGGTTGGGGAGAGTGGATGCCTAGGTGTGAGAATGTGTGAGTACAAGTGTCGAAGACTGCCTTGGGAAGGGCAGTGACTGGGGTTAGGGGTGGCAGGTTGAGGGATGAGGCTCCTCTGTATTGGCTGAAGGAAGGAGATGAGGGATGTTCCCTGACACCGGAGCAGAGCTCTCATCTCTCTGGCTGCCTCTTTCTCCAGTACCTGAAACAACTGTTCCTCATCTCCCAACTCCACCCACCTAGACCTAGAATAGCAGTCTCCAAACTGGAGCAGGACACCCAACAGAAACTCCAGACCAGGCTGGCAAAATGGTGACCTGGGAGGTCAGATTCCTGGAGAGAGGAGAAACCACCATCTTTTTCTATAGACTCCATCCTTCTCCCATTGAAGCCAAGACATTTCATCTTCTCTGCCATTAAATTCCAGTCCAGGGACTTCCCTGGTGGTCCAGTGGTAAAGAATCCGCCTTCCAATGCAGGGGACGCTTGTTTGATCCCTGGTTGGGAAACTAAGATCCCATATGCCGCAGGGCAACTAAGTCCGCGCCACAACTACTGAGCTTGCAAGCCTCAGCGAGAGAGCCCACGTGCCTCAAACTACAGAGCCCACGGGCCCTGGAGCCCGCATGCCACAACTAGAGAGAAGCCCACACGACACAACAAAAGATCCCTCATGCTGCAATGAAGATCCCGCGTGCCACAAGTAAGACCCAACGCAACCAAGAAAATAAAGGAAATAAAATAAATAAATATAAAAATATTTTGCCTCATAATTTTAAAAAATAGTAAAACAAAAAATAAAATAAATCTCAGTCCAACCAAGGGGGCCTTATTCTCTGATCACTTCCTTATTCTGTCTCTTAGTCCTTCTTCTTCCTTTCACAACAGGTGGTTGGGGGTCAGTAGGTACAGAATGAAGAGGCTGAGGCCTGGTTGGGAGAGTTTGTTAAAGGGGATGGGGACAGAGAGAGGTTAAGGAGGAGAGGGGTGGGAGAACAGTGGGGAGAAGACAGCATGATCTTGCCGCCTTCCCTTCTCCTTCCTCTCCCCCAAGACCTACAGAGCCGGCGGTTTTGGAGAGAGGTATTGGCTGAAGGCCTGGATACCCTGATCTTTATGGGGTTTGTCCTTCGGGCATCATGCCCCAGTGGGAGCTCCGTGTCAGGCACAGTCTCTCACCCCCTGCCTGGAGGGCTGGTAGTGGTGAGCCTGGCACAGGTTTTTGATGAGGTCAGTGGGGCCCAGACAAATCCGGCCCTGCCACTGGCACTGTTCTGGGCCCAATGGCTTGACCCTTTCCAGCGGGTATCCTATGTTCTGGCCCAGACACAGCAGCCATCCTGGCCTCAGTCCTCCTCTACCTGGTACTGCCATGGGTGACTGCAGCCTAGCTGGTCTCTCAGGTAAGCAGCAGCCCCTCTCCCTGAGTAGGACGACATTAGGTAGTTAAGGAGGGTGGATGGCTAGGACTTTACGGAATGAACAAAAGAGGGGGCAGCCCTGCTCTGTGCATCCTCTCATTAAGCCACTCAATACGATGCAATAGGCCAATGAGTCAGGATCAGCAGCTCAGGAATTTGGGTGACTTGCTGCAGATTCTGCTCAAAGCTGCCTTTGTGGATAGATGGTGGGAGCTGTGGGCCAGTGGGAGGGATGTATGTGTCCTCCACCCCTGGTCTTAGCATCTCTGGTCCTTTCCAGATGAGCAAGAGGAGCTATATAGGTCGGGGCCAGGGCATGAAGTTCTCCACTTTCCAGTTTGCCGTGGCTCACCAGCAGGTAGACCAGGCAGGCTGGCAGTGGGTTTCTCAGTGACTTCTGGAGTACTGGCATAGATAAGAACCCCACCCATACCAAGCAGCAGTCTTGGGGAAGGCTGGGTTCCATTCCTCAAGGGAGACACAGCTTTTTTTTTTTTTTTCCTTCAGGAGGCTAGGCTAATAGAAAACATTGTGTATGCTAATTACATGTAAAGATATGCAAAAATTCATGTGAGCTTTTGAGAGCTCATCTCTAGTTTGAAAGTTTGGCATTCAGCTAAGTAGGGAGGCTGATGTGAAAGGAAATGGGCTGGGGTTCAGTTCTCCATGGGGTTCTTATCAACATCTGATAAAGAGTAAGGGGGACAGGCTTCCCTGGTGGCGCAGTGGTTAAGAATCTGCCTGCCAATGCAGGGGACAGAGGTTTGAGCCCTGGTCTGGGAAGATGCCACATGCCACGGAGCAACTAAGCCCGTGCGCCACAACTACTGAGCCTGTGCTCTAGAGCCCGTGAGCCACAACTATGGAGCACACGTGCCACAACTACTGAGCCTGGGCGCCTAGGGCCCGTGCTCCACAACAAGAGAAGCCACCGCAATGAGAAGCCCGCGCACCGTAACAGAGTAGCCCCCGCTCGCAGCAACTAGAGAAAGCCCGTTGCACAGCAATGAAGACCTGACACAGCCAAAATTAATTAATTAATTAATTTTTAAAAAGAGTGAAGGAGAGAGGTTGGTAGCTCCAAATAAGGAAATTTAACCATTTTATTTGGTGTCTACAAGGGCACCAAATTAGCTGCTCTTTGCCCTTCTGTTCCTTACTATAAGAGGCTATAGGGGTAATGGTTCCTGTTGATAAAACCCTTATCAAATGGCTCCAATTTATTAAGTGCTTTGTTCTGTGCCAGGCACCATCCTGGGCTTGTACCTACATTACCTTATTTGATCCAGAGAAAACTGAGTCTCAGAGAGCTTACATTAATTTATTCAACAAATACTTATTTACTGCATACTGTGTGTCAAGCATGGGGTTTGCATGCAAATCGACAAGTCCCCGCCCTCCTGGAGTTTGTATCTAGTGGGGTAACTTCCCCACCTAGAAAGTGGTAAAGCCAGGATTTTTGTTGTTACTGCTATTCTTTATGGATTTCAAGTGCACAGAATAGTCCTTTGTTCATGACATCCCCTTCTCAATAGCCCATATGTGACTCCCAATTCCGGTGTTTCACATGGGAACAGCTTGTGATCTCTGTGACTTGCCACGATGTGGAGATGGTGGAGCTTATCAGTGTGTCCCATTCTGCCTTCTCCGCCACCACACAGCCCCCATCTCTAGATCCCAAGTCCCTCACTAAGCCTGTCCACAACTGAACCTCTTTCCCCAAGCTTTTCTTCCTCATCTTGTCCTTTCCTCTCTCCTTGACCAGCCTGCTTCCCCAGATACCCACACCCCCAGACCTTTCCCTAGGCATAGAGATTTAGGACTCCAGTGTCCTGATCACAGCCAGTTTAGGAGGAATTAGACACTCCCATTGCTTCATAGGCATGACTCAGTTTCCTTCCTCTCAGTACTTCCTGCTACGATCTTACAGTTAGGAAAGATGAAGTACAAACTGAGTCTGAGATTTAACTACTCACCCCTTTTCCCCTCCCCAGCTCCCCAACCCCACTCTCAGCCTATCCATGGAAGATAGCATTTTCCTGCTCTCTATCCTGTGGTTTAAAAGGCCAGCCTGGGAATTCCCTGGCGGTCCGGTCCAGTGGTTAGGATTCCAAGCTTCCACTGCAGGGGGCACAGGTTCAATGCCTGGTCTGGGAACTAAGACCCTGCAAGCTGTGCGGTGTGGCAAAAAATAAATGGATAGATAGATAATAAAAATAAAAGGCCAGGCTGAGGGTTTGGAAAGGGAGGTGCTGGCATGGGTCAGGGGGAGGGAACCCGGGCTCAGAGAAAGCCAGACGCAGCAGAACTATTCTGTCCCAGAGCTGCAGGGTCCACAGATTCCAGCCCAAACCAGCCAATGGGAGAAGGCCCTCTAATCCCAGAGAACTAAAGGATTCTCTTCAACTATCCAACTTCCCTGCTGGACCCCACTCTTGATCCCCACCCCCACCCTTACCCCGGCTTGTTCAGAGGAACCTGGAGGCCCCCAGGAGCAGTCAAATACTCCATGAAGTGAACTCAGCCTCACTAACCTCCCAAGCAGAGTTGAGGAATGTTCTAATATAGATGTCAGTCAGGACTATGAACCCCAACTTTGACTTGAGAAAGACAGATTCCTCCAGTTCCCCTGTTCTTAGTCCTTTTCTCTCAGAGCCTGACATGAGCCCTGACCCTATCCCCACCCTCACACCCATGGCTGTGCTCATCTCCCAATTGAGGAGGGAGGGGAAAATGCAGCAGCTTTATCCGATGCACAAGAGTGGTCCCAGTCCTCTGCAGCTGTGAAGGGGTTAAGAGGCTGGGCCAGCCACCTCAGCCTGCCCCTCCCAGGGATTAAAAGTCCTCTATAAAGGGGGCTGTCCATCCAGATCAGGCCAGGGGGGTATCAGGGACCCAGGCATTGTGCCTATCCCCCGTGCCATGTGGGAACTGCGGTCAGCCTCCTTCTGGAGGGCCATATCTGCTGAGTTCTTTGCCACCCTCTTCTATGTCTTCTTCGGGCTAGGGGCCTCACTGCGTTGGGCCCCTGGACCACTGCATATCTTGCAGGTGGCTTTGGCCTTTGGCCTGGCCCTGGCTACACTGGTGCAGGCTGTGGGCCACATCAGTGGAGCCCATGTCAATCCTGCAGTCACTTTCGCCTTCCTTGTGGGCTCCCAGATGTCCCTGCTCCGTGCCTTCTGCTACATGGCAGCCCAACTCCTGGGAGCCGTGGCTGGGGCTGCCGTGCTGTACAGTGTTACCCCGACTGCCGTCCGAGGAAACCTAGCACTTAACACGGTAATGGTTGGCTGAGTGGGGCTGGGGGAACCTGGTGCCCTGACTTCCTTCCTGAAGTGCAGGTAGATCAGTTCCCCAGGGGTCTGGGACAGTGTATGTGTGTGTGTGTGTGTGTGTGTGTGTGTGTGTTTTCAGGGTGGGGAGGATCACAGGTGCTGTGGAGGGATAAGGAAGTCATAGAGCCCTGGACCTGAGTTCAGGTCCCAACTTTTCTTCCAACTCCTGCAGGTTCTTGAAGAAACTTATTTTACCTTATGGGGCCTCAGTTTCCTCATCCATATTAGTGGGTGCATTTATTTCTACTATGAAGGAGTATTATTAGGAGAAATTAAGGAGCAAATACAATTACTATGAAAGAGGTTGTATTATCCTTCCTCTCCATGGAATGGATGCCGTAAGGGGGTTCCTGCCAGGGAAGCCTTGAGTAGGTAAGGCTGTGGCAGCCCTAATGCACTGCCCCCCTTCTTCTTCCTTTGCCCAGTTGCACCCTGGGGTGAGTGTGGGCCAGGCCACCATAGTGGAGATCTTCCTGACGCTCCAGTTCGTGCTCTGCATCTTTGCCACATACGACGAGAGGCGGAATGGCCGCCTGGGCTCCGTGGCCCTGGCCGTTGGCTTCTCCCTCACCCTGGGGCACCTCTTTGGGGTAAGCAGGAGAGGGGAGCAATTCTTGTTTAAGGATTCCCGGTCCCCCAAGCCTTTGTCGACTTTTAAGCATTCTTCTTGCCCACACCAAGGATCAAACCCGTGCCCCTGCATTGAGAGCGCGGAGTCTTAACCACTGGACTGCCAGGGAAGTCCCTATTCTCCTTTCTTGTGACGGATTTATCTAGTCCTTCTTGACCCCAAGGAGGAAAGGCATGCATCATGGGTAGATGTGGGTTTTGCCGGGGGATCCATAGTCTGTCCCCGGATGGGGCATTAGTGACTTCACCCCACTGTGGGACTTCCATGCAGGTTGTTCTCCCCTACTTGCTGCTGGCTGGAGGCAAGGTGCCAACCCTTGGTGGGCAGGTGGGTGGTGGGAGAGAAGCCAGGGTGGAGTGGGCGGGAAGTGTCTCAGTTACAACTGTGTCTTTTGCAGATGTATTATACTGGTGCAGGCATGAACCCTGCCCGCTCCTTTGCTCCTGCCATTCTTACCAGAAACTTCACCAACCACTGGGTGAGTGAGAGGAGAAGGGCAAGATCCTGAGGCCCTCCTGCATGGGTGTGGACTGCAGGTTCCCAGGTTTGGTTCCTGCTTTCCATCTGGATGTATTGACTGCTCTACCAACACTCAGCTAAGGGGGCTGCACAGAGTTTGCATGCCTGTGTGAGCAGGATTCATTATTTTGCTAGAAAGATAGGCTCTTGTTTATATTGTTCCTTCACTAGTTAGTTAGGGATTTTTACTAAGTATTCCCTGGATTCCAAACTAGGAGCTACGAGGACAGAATACTGATCAGGAAGACAGAAGCTTCTACTCTCAGAGACCAGGATATGTATGAGCACAAATGGGCCTGGGCTTCATCCCAGTTCTCGCACTTTATTAGCTTCATGTGTGACCATGACAAATAACTCAATCATTCTGCATCTCAGTTTCCTTAACTACAAAATGGGATGTTATGAGAAATAAACGTGAAAATTATATGTGTGAAATATTTAGCACAGAATCTGATATGGAATAAGTCCTCAATAAAAATTGGCTATTTTTGTGTTGTTTGGCCATATACCAGCTAAACGTATGAAAATAATTCAAAAAATTTTTCAGAGTTGTACACCCATTTTCATGGCAGCATTATTTACAGGAGCCAAAATGTGGAAGCAATCCACGTGTCCCTCACAGATGAATGGATAAACAAAATGTAGTACATACATACAATAAAATAGTATTCAGCCTTCAAAAAGAAGCAAATTCTATACATGCTATATACAACATGAAGGAACCTTCAGGACATTATGCTCAGTGAAATAATCCAATCAGAAAAAGACTCATATTGGGGACTTCCCTGGTGGCGCAGTGGTTAAGAATCTGCCTGCCAATGCAGGGAACACGGATTCGAGCCCTGGTCCGGGAAGATCCCACATGCCGCGGAGCAACTAAGCCCATACGCCACAACTGCTGAGCCTGCGCTCTAGAGCCTGCGAGCCACAACTACTGAAGCCCGTGCGCCTAGAGCCCATACTCCACAACAAGAGAAGCCACCACGATGAGAAGCCCACACACCGCAATGAAGAATAGCCCCCGCTCTCTGCAACTAGAGAGGTCCCACAAGTTCTGCAACTAGAGAAAGCCCACAGGCAGCAAAAGACCCAGAAGCAGCCAAAAAAAAAGATAAAAGAAAAGAAAAAGACACATATTATATAATTCTACCTATACAAGGTATTTAGAGTAGTCAAATTTATTGAAACAAAGCAAAATGGTAGGTAACAGGGGCTGGGGAGAGGGGGAAATGGGGAGTTGTTTAATAGGTATAGAATTTCAGTTTTGCAAGATGAAAAAGTTCTGGGGATGGGCTGCACAACGACATGTATATACTTAACACTACTGAACTGTACAGTTAGAAATGGTTAAGATGGTAAATTTCATGTTATGTGTATTTTACCACAATTAAAAAGAAATTCTCAAAGCAATATGGAAACTAGTACAAACTTATAGCAAAAAATAGAATATACATGTGCTAAGAATGTGTGGGATAAAGGTATAATTTAATGAGTCGGAAAATAAATGGTAAGTTCTGTGGTGCAGGCAGTGCAGGAGTCTAAAGTTTTAAAATAAACAAACAGACACTGATTTCTACTTAAATAGTGCCCAGCTGTAATTGCCAAGTGCAGGATGTGTGTTTTGCAACAATGGGGTTGGAAAAAGGGCAGCCTTGCTCTTGGTCCCCTCCCCAAACCTGATTATTCCTTTCCTCTTCCTGCAGGTGTACTGGGTGGGCCCAATCATTGGAGCAGGCCTGGGCAGTCTCCTTTATGACTTTCTCCTCTTCCCCCGGCTCAAGAGTGTTTCTGAGAGACTGTCTATTCTCAAGGGTGCCAGGCCCAGTGAATCCAATGGACAACCAGAGGGCACAGGGGAACCTGTTGAACTGAAGACCCAGGCCCTGTAAAAGCTCCAGCTGAATAGAGGGAATAGGAAGCTTCTGGGTTTACATGGAGGGGCTGAGCCAGCCCCTGGATAAAGAAAGAGACTGTGGGGAGGGGCATGTACTTCTTTATTTTTAAATTTATGTGTGTGTTTTATTTTTTTGCCTTTTGCCGTGTGAAATCTTTCAAGTTGCATTCATGAGCTGTTTGGTGCAAACTTCCCTTCCTCCCCATCCCACCTCTCTTCGCCGCTGTGTGTGCATGATTGTGCGTATGACTGTGAGTGAATGTGACCGTGTCTGAGTTTTGGGGCATGGCACGAGAGGTAGGGAAGGGAAAAGAGGTGTCACCCTATACCTTCCTCTCCCAACCCAGTGTGGTAAGTACAGGGAACCAAGACCTTAAGTTTCTGGCCTTTACCCTGCTGCCGGTCAAGTGTATGGCTCTAGGTTTTTGAGGGAGCAGGGAAGCAGTTAGTTACTCCTCAGAGGAGGCAGATGGAGAGAAGTGGAGGAGATGAGGCATTCCAAGAGTTGGTAGAAGCAGCTGGGCATGGTGGACGAAATGGAGGTATCAGCCCCAGATCAGGATGCCAAAAAGTTTTGGAGTAGTTTACCCGAGGGTGTAGCCTACTTATCTCAGAAATGCTTGCCCCAGGGACTTGGGTGGGGCAGTAGCTCTGAGAAAAGTGAACACTGGGGTTTGAACTATTCTATAAATCCACATCAACCTATCTACATCCACTGGCTGGGTTTTGCGTACATTCTGGCATGATGGATCTGTTTGGAGGCCCTGGGCCACTGAGCTCCCAACCTAAGCAAAAGGTGGGTGAGCCTAGAATCTAGAAAAATTAAGTAGCTTAACTGTTCTGCCTGACACACCCGCAATGTGGCCTCCAAGCAGGTGGTACTTAAGCCCAGAAGAGCTCCCTAACGCCAAAACAGGAAACCTGATGCCTGGAGCAAATGCAGAGGTAGGGGTGGGGGACATAGGAGGAAAAGGATTTGACCCTCAGTTTTAATTTAGAGCAGCCCAAAACACTCTTCAAATGGCATCCTTCTGCTTTTATCACTAGTTCTATAGTCTTCTTTATTTTCCATTTTTGTGTGTGTCTTTTCATTTTTCTCTCATCTGTCCTTTCATCTTCAGCAAATCTAACCCTTTACATGTCCCAGAAATTGATTCCTTCCATTCAAATTTTAATTATTCACAAGATATTATTTGTTTGATCCCTATTTTCTTTTGTTGTTGGGAAAATACACTCATCTCAACAGAAGCCAGAGGAGACCCTGACCTGACGATGAATACTTGTGTTGACCTCTTCCTTTTAGGAGCCTCCTGCGTATTGCGCAAGCTTTAAACCTATACCTATAGTAAGACAGACACCCCAGTCCCGCAAAAGACCACTCTTCCACGTAGCTGAGCTCTCCATTTCCTCACAAATAAAGCCTAACTTTTCTAACTAACCTTGTTAAGACTTTGGAATAATCCACTTGACTAGGTGCAGGGGAAGAATGTTTGTAAATTCACCTCTAATCGGACTTAGATCCCAATTATCTTAAGTCAGCAGGAAATCCATTGTGCTGTGATTTGGGGCTCAATATAAGGGATCGACTCAGATAAAAGAATACTTGTACTCGCTTCCCTTTTCCTTACTTCATCACCAACTCCCCCGCCCGCTCGGGGTCACATGGACCAGCCCCGCTCTCCCCGCCCATCTCCTCACGTAGGCGGGGTGTGGTCCAGCCCAGCCGGGTGGCGGGAAATGCAGCGGGAGGTGCTGGCTCCGCGGGGACCCTGAGGACCGGCGGGGAGCGGGTGAGTGTCTGGGCGAGAGGGCTCAAAGCGGACTGCGTCCCTTCGAAGCCGCGGGGGCTCTTCTAGGAGGCGCGGAGTTCCCTTTCCGTCACCCGGTTTAAAGGCAGGGGGCGGGGCGCGCGCTTTAGGTGCGCACGCGTCCCCACCCCGCGTCCTGTGTGGGAGCCGCAGGGTTTCCAACTCTCCTGGGACGTCCCCTCGTTTTCCCGACGCCATTCTACACAGATAGATCCTCACGCAGCGGTGCGGCTGTGATGGGAAGGGGCTTGAAACCCTTACAATAAGACAGAAGCTTCCCGGGCATTTCCACTTCGGAATTTTCCATCCAGTTCAGACCCGAAAAAAATAGGTGTCCAGCTTGGTGGTCAGCAGGAGCTGGGATTCACTGGTCGCTTGACTTAAATCTTGAGTTTTTATAAAATGGATTTCTCATTCCCTTCCCTCCTTTCCCTCGGGTAGAAGGCTTAAGGAGGATACAGCCTCTGCTTGGGTTTGTTAGACGGACCATCAGTCGTTAATTAAGCTCCTTCCCTTGAGTCTCTCAATTCTTGGCCCTTCGTGCTGCCACTACATAATTACCGTTTTAAAAAGTCAATCTGGTCATTTCAGATTAAATTTAAAACTCCTCTTTGGCCTCCCACGGTCAAGTTTATATCCTTAGGTGGGTGTCCATGGCCTTTGGCAGTCTGACTCTGATCCTCTCAGCTGATTTTCTAAAGCTCCCTATCATTTTTTTCTATCTCATGCACTTGACTCCCAAACCTATAGAAAGGGTGTGTCTGCATTGTGCTCTTTCATGCTTTGGTACCTGTGCTCCTGCTGTTCCCTCGACTTGAAGTTCTTGCCACTTCTCCGCCAGGTGAACTTCTCTTTCAGGAGCTCAGTTGTCCCGCTGAAAACCTCTATTTCCAGCCCTCCTGGGCCAAAGTAGTCACTTCTTCCTCTGTGTCCCTGAAGTATTTTACCTCCCTCTATTATCAGTGGCACTTATACAACTGAGTAAAAGGTTACTGAGCTCCTAACATGTACTGTGCCGTGTGCTCAGTACCAGGTGGACAAGATGAATAGAACAGAGTTCCTGCCCTTAAGGAACTGGAAGGAAGAACACATGTAAATGAGTCCTCTGCAGTTACAGGGTGACAAAGAAGTCTGCCCTGGCCTCCTTACTCCTCTCACTCAGAACTCTCTTGAGTAAGTTTATCTACTTTCACAACTTGACACACCACCTTACATCCTGATGCCTCCAAATCTCCAGCCCCATCCTCTGCTCCCTCAACTTCGAAACTTGTCTACTTCAGCTTAGAAAGCATGTGTTGAACACTTATGATACCTGCCGTGGCCCGGGTTCAAGCCCTGGTTGGGGAACTGACATCCCCCAAGCTGTGTGGCAGGGCTACCAAAAGAAGAAAAAGATGCAAGCCTGAGGAGCATCATCTCTTAAGGAGGAGTACAGGAGCAGCCAATGTGAGGTCAAGGAAAGGTGTTTGTTTTGTTTTGGGGGTTTTTCCCACCCCCTAAGATGGTGGAGCTTTGAGCAACTCATAACATATGGGAATGGAGCCAGTATAAAGAGAAAATTGGAAACAAATGAGGAATGAGGAAGAAGCAACTGAGGGACGAGAAGTAATTGATCATTCACAAATGGAGGGCTTAGATTCATTTGAAATATGTATGTTTTTAGGCTTGGGTGGGGAGAATTGAGACAGTTCGTTTCTGATGATCTCAGTTGTTCTGAGAGGAAGGGACCTGAGACACCAGCTGAGAAGTGTGGGAAGCAGTGGAGTAAAGGGGCTTGAGGGTAACGGTGAAAGTTAGAAACAGCTGTTCCTTGGGAAGAAGAGGGAGAGGACCAGGAACACAAAGGATTTTGTGTTCAGGATTTTGTGGCTGAGGACCTGTTCAGATTGGAGACCACATTTGTTGTGTATCATTTTGCAGGGTTGTTTGGTTTCCTCTAGCAAATCTGAGTCTAGATTTGAATCCAGGAGTCTAGAAAGCAAATGGTTGCATTGATCTGCGGTTGGGATCTTTTGCAGAGTGAATGCAGTAAAAGGAAAAAAGATTGAGACCTTACAGAGAGTGATATGTTTAGTGATACACCAGTAGGATATGTGCTCCTGCTTGTGCGACCCCAGTTTGATCGTTTTGTTTTTCAGCTCAGAAATCTTCAGTTAGTCCCAGGCTTATGTTCTAAATCCTTGAATTGATAGACAAAGACCAAGTTTTCCCATAAAGTCGGTTCCAACCCTCTTTTCCATTTTTTTCCTAAGACTCCTCTACTCATAGTGGCTCCCTCTCTGGTTTTACTCTGGCAAATTCTCTGCTGAAGTTCCTCTCCTCCTCTCAGCTGCCTCAATTCTATGCAGCCTTCACAGGCCCAGTTCTAATCACACTTTCTCTGACAAAACCTCCTTGGCCACTTTAACCTGAAAAGAGCCCTAGTTTTTCAGAATTTTTTTTTAAATATCACTTACAGCTAGTACTGACTTTCTTTTACATTGTTTCTTCTATATTAGGTGGGTTTTATTTCTGCAACTAAATTCCTTAAATTTCTTTAGCACTGCAGCCACTGCACCTGCACAGCACTATCTTTTGCCTAGGAGGATTTTCGTAAGCACTTAGTGACTGACTATAGAGTCCAATAGATGGAGAGGAAATTAATATTTTGAGAATTCTTTGTGTTCAACACTCAGTATAAGTGTTTGATATCAGAGCTTCTCAAACTTTTGTGGTGAACGACCAGTGTTTCCCCCCCCCCCCCAGGCTGTTGCAGGCCAGTACTTTTCTTTCTTTCTTTTTTTTCTAGCTTTATTGTGATATATCACTTGAAATATAAAGTACTTTTCTAAAATAGTAGAACTAGAATCGTATTATTAGAAAAATTAAATTACTAGAGAAATAACGTGAAAAAAAGACATACAGAATATAGGCATTTTTACTATTAGATTCAACAAACATCAACTGCATCAAATTGCTATAAGATGTTCTAAATGCTTATGTTTTGTTTTTGTCCATATCTTGATGCAGACTGCTAACAGTTTGTGGACCAGCAATGGTCCGTTGGTCCACAAATGACACTGATTTCCATGATCTCATTTGAACCACCTGCTACGTATTTTTCTCTGCGTACCGATAAGGAAACTGAGGTTTAGGTTAAGCCACATGCTCAAGATCACCAACTTAGTACTGGACAGAACTGGAATTCAAATGCCAAGCGTCATTCTGTTCATACTAGTGAATCTCAGAGCTGGTTCTTAGAGCAGGGTTGGTTTGGGACAGAGTTTTTTGCTTGGTTTTATTTTGTTTTCAAGAAATGTGTTAATTTTCTATTTTGAATTGCAAGCGTATTTAATATTTTATCCTTTATTTTCCTTTGGTTCTTGCATTTTGAGGCCTGCATTTGAGATGATTATTGCTTCATCTCAACTGCTTAGTACTTAGTTGAGTGAGAAAAGTAACTAACATCCCTTTTAAATGTCCAGATCTGCTTTGTCTAAGGTATTTGACAGAGTTCTCATCTGTCTATGATAAAATGTGAAAATGCAACATAATGAGTTTTTTCATAAAATTAAATGTATTAAAGGACTGTACTTTATTCTGGGATTTTTGTCCTTCTTAGGTTTTTGTGGGGTTTTTTTGGTGTTTACTGAAAACAATGTATAGTAATTGTGTGGGTGTTTTTTATAACAGCTGTATTGAGATATAATTCACATACCATAAAATTCACCCTTTTAAAATGTACAATTCACAGAGACATGCAACTGTTACTGCCAGCTAATGTTAGAACATTTTTATCACCCCCAAAAGAAACCACATAGGTCCCTACTAGCAGTCACTCCCCATTGCCTCCTCTCCCCAGTGCCTGGCAGCCACTAATCTACTTTCTGTCTCTATGGATTTGCCTATTCTGGGCATTTCATATAAGTGGAATCTTACAACATGTGACCTTTTGTGTCTGGCTTCTTTTATGGAACGTAATGTTTTCAAATTTCATCTATATTGTAGCGTGTATCAGTACTTCATTCCTTTTTATTGTCAAATAATATTCCATTGTGTAGATATACCACTTTTTGTTTATCCATTCATCAATTGATGGACATTGGGGTTTTCCACATTTTGGCTATTATAAATGCTGCTGTGAACATTGGTGTGCAGGTTTTTGTGTGGACGTACATTTCATTTCTCTCAGATATGTACCTAGGAGTGGAATTGCTAGGTCCTATGGTACCTCTGTTTTAACGTTTTGAGGAACTGCCAAACCAACTTCCACGGCAGCTGCACCATTTTACAGTCCTACCAGCAATATACGAGGTTTGTGCGTCTGTATTTTTTTTTAATTGTCCTTAAGTTACAAAATTTAGAGTCTGCCACCTTAGGTTAGTCTCCCTAAATTGAAAAAAAAATTAAAGGCCCATCCATGAAATCCAGAAGTTTGGAAACAACTATATTACCCCAGTCAGTATTTCAAAACAAAGCAAACAGAACAAAACAAAAAACTCAAAAAAACCCTATCTAGAAGGTCATCAATTAAAAAAATGATGAGAACTAACTGCTGATTGTTGAATAAAGTTGTAGACCACCTTTGCATCTTGATTTTCCTTCAGCATAATAGTCTTGTATATGTTAAAGCAGTTCCCAATTATAGGATCATTTGGCGAGCGTTTCCTAAATACTGTTCCTGTGCCCCTTCTCGCCAGCCCCTGGAGTTTCTGAATATTTGGACAGGGCCTAAGCAGGTATCCTAAGGTGGTTTTAAAGTACAGCCTGGCTTGAGAATGACTGTTTAGGTAGTTGGGACATTGAGGGTATAATGTTAATGCTTTTACTTGCATGTTTTGTTAATTCTAAGATAAACATTTTTTCAGGAAAAAAAAAAAAGAATTTCTTTTTTCTCTTGGTTCTTTGGCAAGCCAGAATGGCTGGTTTTCCTGTTTTGCCTTTGTTCTTGGTCAAAGAAGTGGCATGGGGAGAATTATTTTCAAAGTAGAAAACTCAGGAAGGAGAGTAAAGTACTCCGATTAGAACAAAGAGAAATTAAAAGCTTGTATATATCTGTTCTGTCCCGTTGTCCTGAATAGCACTTGTGGTTTCTCCTTTTCCCTCTTTGTAAGAGGAAAGAATTTGGTGGTGGTAACTATCGTGAGCCCATGCTCACTATGACTGTAGTGAGCCCTGTGCTTAGTCATTAGCTGGGGGTCTGCCCAGGAAGAGTAGGGCTGAGGTGGGTCCTGGAGGTGCTGTCAGCTAACTGCATTCTTTGCAGCTGAATGGAAAGTTCTTTCTTGAGAAATCTGAGCAGGCACTTCCATGGCTGCCACAGTATCCTTTACCTTATTTCTCAGATAAGGAAGCTAAGACTGACTTGATGAGGAATAAATGGGCCGGTAGGCAGTGAAGCCAGGACTCTGACCCCACCTTCTGAATGTTGTACTGTTCTTTCTATTACACCAAGTTGCATTTAACAGTTTCTACTGAATGTCTATCTTATGAAAGAAATTCAGTGCATTCAGAAATGCATAAAACATTTAGTAGAGGAGAAAAGATGTACTCTAGGTTATTGTAACGTAAAGGAGTAGTTCAGGGCTTCCGTGGTGGCGCAGTGGTCGAGAGTCCCGCCTGCCGATGCAGGGGACCCGGGTTCGTGCCCCGGTCTGGGAGAATCCCACATGCCACGGAGCGGCTGGGCCCGTGGGCCATGGCCGCTGGGCCTGCACATCCGGAGCCTGTGCTCCGCAACGGGAGAGGCCACAGCAGTGAGAGGCCTGCGTACCGCAAAAAATATATAATAATAATAAAAAATTTAAAAAAAAGAAGTAGTACAGTGCCAGAGGAGGAAGTCCATTTAGAGTGATATGTGCGGTCAGATCCTGTCCTGCTGTAGGCTATCAGGGAGAGCTTCGTGGAGGAGTGGCATTTGAGCTGGATCTTGAAGGTCAGGTAGGCTTAGAACTTTTGGAATTAAGGGAGGTGGACCTTCCAGAAGGAGGAAGCAAGGTTTAGAGAGCGTGAGGGGGCTTTGTGTCTTGGAATGTGTATGTTTATGTTCCTGGGTTGGGGGACTAGATAGCCAGAGGAGGCACCTGAGGCATGGATCTAAGAAGTGGTGGGTTGGATGGGTAAGTGTGAAGTAGATATAAGACAGATAATCAGATTATAAGTGGTTTAGGAGAGGAAGATGAGGCCACACAGACTAGGTGAGTAGCTTCTAGATAACGGCATGAAAAGAGAGTGAACTGTAAGTTTTCTGTCCCTGGCTCTTTTTTTAATAGTATGTTTCCACCAGTGAGGGCTGGAACTCCTGTTTAGAGCTCTTTTATTCCAGTTCTAATGAATAGGCCCAAGACTGCCAGCTTGCCTCATGTAAACCCAGCTTGCCTGGGAGCTTTATAATAGTCATCTTACCCATTTCTTCCTCTACTTTGCTTGTTGCTCTCTGGTTCTGTCAGAACTGCAGGGGATTAGAACCTGAAGTCTTAGCTCTCTTACATAACCTCTTCCCTTCTCACATCTGCAAGGATGCTCCTTCCCTATCTTCTTTCCCCTCCAGCTTTTATTTAGGTAGCCAGGTAACAGCAGTTACCACCTCTGTTATTTTTGCCTTTCAGGTAAACCAATGTGTTGAAAGCAGAGGTTTGAGTACTCTGCCGGGGCCAGTTTTACAAATATTGAATATTAGAATTGGTCTGCTCTGTGTGTGTATGTGTGTATACACCAGTGGTCTGTCTGGAAAAGCTAGATGTATCTTTTTTTTTTTTTTTTTTTTTTTTAAGCTAGATCTATCTTGGAGGAGAGTCACAGATCTCACACACTGCACCTGCCTCACTGGAGCCCAGGTCTTAGGGTCTGCAAGTCCCATGAGAAAGGGCAGTGAAGGCAGGTATCCCTTCAGTTTTCCTGGTCATTCTGTGGTTTACTGGCTCACTGTTGCTGGGCTGAGCGGTCAGAAAGGAGATTAGCACTGGGTAGGGGAAGGGAAAGCAGCAGCCTAGAGAAGTAGCCCAGTTACATAAATGCATGGAGATAACATCAGGCATTAAACCTTGGTCCTTTGGACATGGCCCATTTCTTATTTCCTGTGGGGGAACAGGGGTGCAGTTGGAGGTACGTATGGAACAGGGAAAGGTGTTTTTAGAGGAAGCTGCTGCGTGCTGAGAGTGTGGCTGAATGTGACAAGGGGATGCATAGTGAATGTAGAGTGTGTGTGTGTGTGTGTGTGTGTGTGTATGACTAGTGTCAGGTTCTGAAACATCCAGGATCTGTGCCTACTTGATTATCTGATGAGGGTTTAGGGATCTTAATAAAAGGGGGTGTGCTTCAGAAAAGGAAGATGGTTCTTCTGTGGAGAGGGACAAGGAATTTAACTAGTTCCTATTCTTTTTCTCACCCATTCTGTTAGGTACTGGCTTCTACTAAGATCACCAAAATTTAAGAGTAACTTTGGGGAGGAGAGTGAAGGAACTTTCTTTACACATCCCCAGAGCCTCAGAAGCCTCAGGGCTCCTGGGATATATCAGATCCTCAGTGGGATCACTGTACAGTCAGACCTGGGTTTTCTCAGTTCTTGTGGTACAGAAGAGCTCTAACTGTGTGGGTGGAAGCTGGAGGGGGACCGGGTCCAGCAATTTTTTTATTTTTGGCCATGCTGCGCAGCTTGTGGAATTAGTTCCCCAACCAGGGATTGAACCTGGACCCTTAGCAGTGAAAGTGCTAAGTCCTAACCACTGGACCGCCAGGGAATTCCCCCAGCAATTTTAAGGCAGAGGGAAGCTCATTCTCCCACCTTCTCACAAGGCTGCAGAGCTTTCTCAGGGTGAAATTCTCAGAGTTGATGCCCTTTGCTAACCAGCCTTTCTTTCTACTAGGTTATCTAGACTCAGACATACTGTTTCTACAGTTTCAGACCTGATTTAGAGGATGGGATGGCTTAATTCTTAGTCTCGGAGCCTCCTGGGTAGAAGTCTTAACTTAAAGCTTTCCCCGGGACTGGGAACAGCACTTCCGGTGCTGACAAAAGTGAAACATTTGAGGACCTTGATCAGAATACTCAGAGCATCAGGGTCCTGCCTGCTCCCCCCCTCCCTTTTATGGGGAGGACCCTACATTTGTTTTGTTTTGGGGTTTTTTTTAGATTTATTTATTTGTTTATTTTTATTTTTGGTTGCATTGGGTCTTTGTTGCTGCACGTGGGCTTTCTCTAGTTGCGGCGAGTGGGGGCTACTCTTTGTTGTGGTGCGCGGGCTTCTCATTGCGGTGGCTTCTCTTGTTGAGGAGCATGGGCTCTAGAGCACAGGCTCAGTAGTTGTGGTGCACAGGCTTAGTTGCTCTGCAGCATGTGGAATCTTTCCAGAACAGGGCACGAACCCATGTGCCCTGAATTGGCAGGCGGATTCTTAACCGCTGCGCCACCAGAGAAGTCCCCCACATTTGTTATCTTTCCTTGTCTCTATAGGCCTCATCATTTCTAGCTCCCTTGGCTCCACCTGCCTTTCTTCTCTAACGGCTGGTCCACTGATGTGTGGACTTGTACATGATGAATTGTGAACTTCTAGCCACATGCAGTGCTCTTGGGTACTTGGAGGGAGACACTTACCACAAGGAGCCAGATTGCTTAGGTGAGTCGCTTTTTGAGGTAACAGGTTAAAAAAAAAACAACACTTGCTTGAGTCTAGGTCTTTTGAATTTCTCAAGCCATGGGTGTGAAAAGCACATGGGCCTGGGTAGAGCTTCTGCCAGGGTTCCATGTAAGTGTTTATTCTGTCCCTGAAGAGAGTGTGAAGGATTTGATCCGCTACTTGAGGCATGAGGATGAGACGCGAGATGTACGGCAGCAGCTGGGGGCAGCGCAAATCCTGCAGAGCGACCTCCTACCCATCCTTACCCAACACTGCCAGGACAAGCCTCTCTTTCATGCTGTTATCAGGTTGATTCCCCAGCTTTTTTTTTTTTTTAATTGAAGTATAGTTGATTTACAATGCTATGTTAATTTCTGCTATACAGCAAAGTGATTCAGTTATACATATATATATATACATTCTTTTTTATATTTTTTCCATTATGATTTATCACAGGATATTGAATATAGTTCCCTGTGCTATACAGCAGGACCTTGTTGTTGATCCCCCAGCTTTTTAACATATACTGTGTGCCAGCCTTTGGTATTTGTGCCTGGTGAGGAAACTGAACAGCTTCTCCCTCCTTCATGGTCTCCCCAGGCTGATGGTGAACTTGACACAACCAGCCTTGCTCTGTTTTGGCAGCGTGCCCAAGGAGCCCAGCTTCCGGCACCACTTTCTGCAGGTGCTAGCGTACTTGCAGGCCTACAAAGAGGTGAGGTTTTCCTCCAGAATCCCGAGGCAGAGTTTGGGGGCCGTGGGAAAGGAGAGGGTGGGGACTACTTAAGGTCCATCCCCCTGTTTTGTAGGCCTTTGCCAGTGAGAAGGCTTTTGGAGTCCTCAGTGAAACTTTGTATGAGCTGCTGCAGCTGGTGAGTCTCCGCCTCACAAGATCCCAGGGGACAGTTAGCGCCCTGCTCCTTCCCTGGGCAGAACCCCAGGTGGGGCATCACAACATGCGGGGTTTGGAGATACGGTCCCAGTCCTCAGGGGTACAAGTCCAATCTGCTGTCTCTGCTGCCTCGGGACTACTCGAACTCTTCCTTCTTTCTTTTTAATCCTGATTCTTCTCTGTGCCTCTCTCGCCCCATCAGGGTAGATGCCTCCCGCCTTCCACAGGGGGTCTTGTCCTCTAACTCTCCTTCTTCTGACCAGGGCTGGGAGGAACGGCAGGAGGAAGACAGCTTGCTGATTGAGCGGATCCTGCTGCTGGTCAGAAATGTTCTCCATGTCCCAGCCGACCTTGATCAGGAGAAGGTGATCTTGGCTGGTCCGAGTTCTTGTGCTTGATTAGGTTGGGCTGCCCCTTTTTCGCTGTTCTGTCCTCTGACGAAACTCGGGAGGGACCTTCGTCAAGGAATGAATTAGAAAACCTCAAGGCAGGGCAGTAGAACTGACTGATCTCCCCTTTCTCCCTCACCACTCATTGCTCAGAGGATCGATGATGACGCCAGTGTCCACGACCGGCTTCTCTGGGCGATTCACCTCAGTGGCCTGGACGACCTGCTCCTCTTCCTGGCCAGCTCAACTGCGGAGCATCAGTGGAGCCTCCACGTGCTGGAGATCATCTCCCTTATGTTTCGTGACCAGGTGAGACACTCACCTGTTGCCTCAATCCCTTCCCTCATGTCCGTTTCTGCTGTGCAGCCGGAATTGCTCTTGTATCATGACTGAAATACCTGGGGAAGGCAGGTGCCAGGTGGAATAGCCATGTCTTAAGTACAGGGTCCCATCAACAGTCCTATTTTGTTCACTCTTTCTGTCCCCACTAGGAGTGAACTCAGAATAGGAAATGACTGTCCTTCTGACTCTTCCCTCCTTGTTCTAAATCTAGAACCCTGAGCAGCTGGCAGGAGTGGGGCAGGGACGCTTAGCTCAGGAGCGGAGGACAGCTGTGGCAGAACTGGAGGTGTTGCGCCAGCGAGAGATGGCAGAGAAGAAGACTCGAGCCCTGCAGCGAGGCAACAGGTGAGTGGTGCAGAGCCACTCTACCCATGTTCCCATTCCTGCACTACGGAATGCTAGGGCTTGGGCCAAATGCTAAGGCAGTGGTGACGAGAGCACTTTGCAGTTACAACATGCTCTGATGTGCTGCTGGAAGAGAACGGGGATGGAACCTCCAGAGAATTGAGGAATCACCCTGGACTTTTTTTTCTCTGCAGGCATTCTCGATTTGGGGGCTCCTACATTGTCCAGGGCTTGAAATCCATTGGGGAGAGGGACCTCATCTTTCACAAAGGTCTCCACAATGTGAGTCTGGTCCCGTCAGGGGTGGGAACATTGTGGAGTGGGGGACCTTTACCTCTCTGGAGGTAAAGCTTCTCTGTTCTTGGGCTTAGAAAGTTGGAGACCTAGGAGAAATAGAGCTTTTGGCATTGTCTTTACCTGCATCTTCACTTAGTACCAGAGGGAGAGCACGTTCTACCTTCTACAAGTTTCTTCTGAGAAAACTGTAGTACCAAGGATGTGTAAAGAGCTGCCGGGGAGGGAGGTGGTTAGGAGTAATTCTAATTCCCTCAACCTACATCCCCAGCTCCAAAACTACACTTCCGATTTGGGAAAGCAGCCCCGACGGGTACCTAAACGTCGCCAGGCTGCCCGGGAGCTGTCCGTGCAGCGCCGCTCTGCCCTCAACGTGAGACTCTTTCTCAGAGACTTCTGCTCTGAGTTCCTGGAGAACTGTTACAACCGGCTCATGGGCTCGGTGAAGGTGAGAGCCTAGGAAAGATGGAGTAGAGAGGTGATTGGGGTAGTGGTGGGTAAGAAGGGCAAGCTGGGGAGGAACCCATGGAAAGCTGCCCATGGAGAGTGGACTAGTAGGTGAGACGGATGTAGGATGCCCCTGAGACATGGTGACGAAGTCAGGAGGGAGGGGGTTATCGATATGACCAAAAAAGCTCTAGAGATTGCCGCAGAGGAAGGGGAAGGGAACGTGGGGAGAATGAGAAAGGGATGGAGATTTGGGTCCTATAGTATTGTTACAGTGGTGTCCAGGGTCCACCTGGTCATCATAGGACAGGAGGAAGTTGGAAGCCCTGAGGTCATGAAGTGGTCTGTTTTTCCTTGACATCAGGACCACCTGCTTCGGGAGAAGGCTCAGCAGCACGATGAGACCTACTACATGTGGGCTTTGGCTTTCTTCATGGCCTTCAACCGAGCTGCCTCCTTCCGGCCAGGCCTGGTTTCTGAGACCCTCACTGTCCGCACCTTCCACTTCATTGAGCAGAACCTCACCAACTACTATGAGATGATGCTGACCGACCGCAAGGAAGCCACCTCCTGGGCACGCCGGTGAGCGGGAGGAGAAGTGGGGTCAGAGTGGGCATCTTGGCCAGGCTGGGAATCTGAATGCCTGAATTCTGGATGGTACTTTCTGTCCCGTCTCAGGCTTCAGGTGGTCAGCTGGGGAGCAAGGACTGGCTGGGTCATTGAGTTTTTGATGGAACTGTTTTGGCAGGCGAGGGTGCAAAGGGTGATACCGTTTCCACGAACCAAGGTCCTAAGCTGTCCTCCGTTTTACCTCTTTCCCTCTCACAGGATGCACCTGGCTCTAAAGGCCTATCAGGAGCTGCTGGCCACAGTGAATGAGATGAATGCGTCCCCAGATGAGGCTGTGAGGGAGAGCAGCCGCATCATCCAGAGTGAGGCCTCGCTTGGTCTCTGATCCCCCCTTCCCTGCCTCTTGATCCGAATCTCACTCTTCCCGGACCCAGCTTCACCCGTCTCTCCTTTCCCCAAGCTTTCCAGGTCAGTCCTTCCATTCCTTTCTCTTCCCTGTTTCTAGACAACATTTTCTATGTGATGGAGTACCGAGAGCTCTTCCTGGCACTCTTTCGAAAGTTCAATGAGAGATGCCAGCCCCGCTCTTTCCTTCGTGACCTGGTGGAAACCACCCACCTCTTCCTCAAGATGTTGGAGCGGTTCTGCCGGAGCCGTGGGAACCTGATGGTGCAGGTACTGGGCAGCCCAGGGTGTGGAAAGAGCTGGGGAGAAAGGGTGGGGGACAGAAAGGACAGGGGGCTCTTTTTCCTCACATTTTCTGTAGCTTAAGCTGGTCTGTTAGAACTACTCTGAACGAAGGGCAAGAGTTTCGTTGGTGTTGCCAATGTAGTTCTGCCTTGTGAGTCTCCTCTCATTAGGTTGATCCCTGATCTACCATAAGTATCTTAATTCATTCAGGAAACATTTATTAAACACCTGCTCTGTGCTAAGCACATGAACTCTGGGGGTTCATAATTTTATTTTATTTATTTATTTATTTTTTGATGTGGACCATTTTTAAAGTCTCTTTGAATTTGTTACAATATTGCTTCTGTTTTGTGTCTGTTGTGTTTTTTTTGTTTTTTTTTTTTTTGGCCACGTGGCATGTGGGATCTTAGCTCCCCGACTCGGGATCGAACCCACACCCCCTGCATTGGAAGGCGAAGTCTCAACCACTGGACTGCCAGGGAAGTCCCAGGGGGTTGATAATTTTAGAGTTTAGTAATTATGCTGTGCTATTTCCTGGTTATACTTCAGAAGCACTGTAATGAGATAGAAAGGACCTTACATTAAAAGTCAGAGGTCTGGGGACTTCCCTGGCAGTCCAGTGGTTAAGCCTCTGAACTTTCACTGCAGGGGTCCAGGTTCGATCCCTAGTCAGGGAACTAAGATCTCACATGCCGCATGGTGCAGCCAAAAAAAAAACAAACTCGGAGGTCTGGGATCTCATCCTGTATTAGTTACTGTTAGAATAACTTAAGCTGCTTGTGTGAGTCCTGATCTTTAAAAGTTGGTTGTAACATCTACCCATGAGCCTGAAATGAAATAATAAATGAAAAGTCTGGGACAAGAAGAAAACCTCAAGGAATTTCTATCCTGGAGACACAAGGACTCTGCTTTGTAAAAATTTTCCTATAATTCTATTTGCTATAGGTTAAAACTCAGTCAGAACTGGGCTTGAAAGGGGCTGTAGTACCGATGAGCCTTTTCTAAAAGGTCTGTTTACACTCGGAGCTCTGTTGTATTAGCAGTACTAATAGGTTCTATCATTTATCGAGCGTTTACTATGTCTCAGACGTTGTGCTAAGGTTTCCCTATAATCCTCACAATAGCACCAGGGCACATGCGCAGAGTGGTTAAGCACCTTGTCCAAGGTCTTGCTGGTATATGGCTAGCATCAATACTTAAATCCTGGTCTGCTGGAATCCAGACTCATGCTCCTGACCTTTAGTGTGTTTATAAGTTCCTTGAATAAAGGACGAACCTCATTAAGGGCCTCACAGGCCCTCCTGTTTGCCCACAGCGAAGACTGGTTCACAGCCATGAATTGGGGGAGTGGGGTCGGGGTATTGATTCTCATTCTCCTGCCTTTCAGGAGAAAAAATTGTAGTTTACATTTGCAGAGTGCTTTGCATTTAATAAAGCCTTTTCATATAGAATTTTTTATCCTCAGAGCAAATTTGCTCATTCTCTAGGCTTCTGTTTAAGGTATCACTTCCACAAGAAATGAGTCACGTGCTGTTCCTGGGTTTTGCTATGGCGTTTTATGCTCAGCCATGTTCTAGGTCTTATCCAGGCTGTAGTGTCATTTACCTGTCTACTTACCTGTCTCCCCCACTAGGCCACAAGTGCCTCAAGGGCAAGGAAATGTGCTCTTCACTGCTGCTTTCCCATTGTCATTGAGTAGCACATAGTGGTCACTCGGTGAATGTCTAATTAATTCAGACATCTAATTAATTAGTTAATAGAGGACATTGATGGGGAAAAGGCCTCCCTAGCTCTTGTGCCATCCTAACACAGTTCCTTCTCTGTAGAACAAACGAAAGAAGAGAAAGAAGAAAAAGAATGTCCTAGATCAGTCCGTAGCTTCTGGTAATGTCCCCTACAGCCCAGAGGAACTGGAGTCTGTGTGGCCCTCCCTGGCCGAGCAGCTACAGTGCTGTGCCCAGATAAGTAGTTGCAGAAACTCTCTCTTTCTTTCTTTCTTTTTTTTTTTTTTAATATTTATTTTTGGCTGCGTTAGGTCTCCATGGCTGCACGCAGGCTTTCTCTAGTTGCAGCAAGTGGGGACTACTCTTCATTGCGGTGCGTGGGCTTCTCATTGTGGTGGCTTCTCTTATTGCAGAGCATGGGCTCTAGGTACATGGGCTTCAGTAGTTGTGCCGCATGGGCTCTAGAGCGCAGGCTCAGTAGTTGTGGTGCACGGGGTTAGTTGCTCCGTGGCATGTGGGATCTTCCTGGACCAGGGCTCGAGGCCGTGTCCCCTGCATTGGCAGGTGGATTCTTAACCACTGTGCCACCAGGGAACTCCTACTCTCTGTTTCCTGAGGGTAGTGCTCTGGGCAGGCTCTCTGGGTCTCTCCCCCCACTGCCCCACCAACTGTTACCAAAGCTTTAATAATCCCTCTCTAGGATCCTGAGCTCAGTTTGGACTCCATGGTTCCCTTTGATGCGGCCTCAGAGGTGCCCGTGGAAGAACAGCGGGCAGAAGCCATGGTGCGGATCCAAGACTGTCTCCTGGCTGGCCAGGCCCCACAGGCCCTGACCCTTCTTAGGTCTGCCCGGTAAGAGCCCCGCCTACCCGTCCTCCCACATCCAGCCCCTGGGCTTTTGGGGGCAGGGAGTGGCTTTCACTGTGGCACAGGGTTCTCAGTCTTCAAGAGAGAAGTTCCCTCAGAAGCGCTGGGGCTCTGTACAGGGTACTGAGTCCTGGGGAGTTTGGGTTGGTTTATTGGGAGGTTTATTATTTGTTTTTGTTTCATTTTTGAGAAATATCAGCACAGTTAGTTGGGGAAAAAAAATAAAGTTAATTCTATGAGCCAAAGATAGCCATCATTAACATTTTGATGAGTTATCTTCCAGAGTTTTTCCCTCTGTGTTATATATAGACATATCATATACACCTTCTTTTACAAGATTGAAATATTGCAATACTGATTTATAGTATTTTTTTTCACTTCTCAATATATTGTGAGCATCATTTCTTTTTTTTTTCAAATATTTACTTATTCTGGCTGCACCGGGTCTTAGGTGAGGCACGTGGGATCTTTGCAGCGGCATGCAGGATCTTTCAGTTGCAGCGTGCAGACTTCTTAGTTGCAGCATGCAGACTCTTAGTTGTGGCATGTGAACTCTTAGTTGCAGCAGGCATGCAGGATCTGGTTCCCCAGCTAAGTTTTGAACCCAGGCCCCCTGCATTGGGAGCGCGGAGCCTTAGCCACTGGACAACCAGGGAAGTCCCGTGAGCATCACTTCTCGTCAGATATATTTCTGCAATTATTAATGGCTTTAAAACACCATTGTGAAAACAGCGGCAAATAAATAGATAAATAAATTTATAAAAACAAAAAACACCATTGTGTGAATATGTACATTTGTTCAACATTTGTTCAAATGTCACGCGTTTAGATTATTTGCCTTTTCTTCCTGTATGATTTTCTTTGCAGTGTGGCTTATGAGGGAAAATTTCCCTAGAGTCTTTGTTTCATCTTTGAAATAACAGTCTGTATTCTCTTTCCAGCTGGAAAATAAAATAAGTCTAAATTCCTTCTCCCACTTCAAATTATAACTGAGATATTATAAAAAAAAAAAAGATATTATAAAAAAAAGCCTTTTTTCTCTCTGTGCTCCAGGGAGGTGTGGCCAGAAGGAGATGTGTTTGGCTCTCAGGACATTTCCCCAGAGGAGGAGATTCAGCTGCTGAAGCAAATCGTCTGGGCCCCGCTTCCCCGTGAGTCTCCCATTTCCTTCTCATCTCTCTCCTTCCAGCTCTTCTCTAGCTCCAGCGTCACAGACACCCAGTAATCCTCGGTCTTTCTATAGGGCAGCAGGGACCAGAGGAACAAGGGGCGGAGGAAGAAGATGAAGAAGAGGTGGAGGAGGAAGAGTTGCACATGGTCGAGGTGTTGGAGAAAGAATTTAACTTTCTGGACTACCTGAAACGGTGTGGGCCGGGAGGATGGAATTGGTGTCAGGGTGGAGACCGTGGGGCTGTGAGGACGACCACACGTCCTCACGCTGACATCCTCTCGCTCCCTGTCTCGGTGCAGCTTTGCAAACTCAACTGTCATCCAAGCCTACGTGCTGCTGCTGCGGAGCTACAAGCAAAATAGCGCCCACACCAACCACTGTGTCGTCAAGATGCTGCACCGTCTGGCCTATGATCTCAAAATGGAAGCCCTGCTTTTCCAGCTTTCCCTCTTCTGCCTCTTCAATCGTCTGCTTAGCGACCCTGCGGCTGGGGCCTACAAAGTAAGGAGATACCAAAGAATGGGGTTCTAGAGGTGTAGGGGAGTCCTGGGGTAAAAGGTTAGGGGATAAAGTGCCCTGAGCCGTGTCAAGGCTGAACGATGAGAGAACGGTGAGGAAGTAGACAGGCAGGTTGAGGGAGCTGCAAGGGGAAGGATAGAAGAGGCTGAGCGAGGAGGGGGCAGCTGGGAACAGGCGTAGAAAAAAATACCTAAAGGCCCATGTTTATGTACATTTAGGCCACAGGCCTCACAGCAGTCTCCCTCTCCCTCAGGAGCTAGTGACTTTTTCCAGATACATCCTGGGCAAGTTCTTTGCACTGGCCGCAGTCAACCAGAAAGCCTTTGTGGAGCTGCTGTTCTGGAAGAACACAGCTGTGGTTCGAGAGATGACTGAGGGCTATGGCTCCCTGGATGGCAGGTGAGCTTGAGGATGGGGAAGGCTTGGCGATGGGGAAGGGGGTGACACAGTCACAGAGTGTCAGAGCTGGAAGAGCTTGCAGATCAGTTGGTGTAACCTTTCTTTCCCTTTCGTAGGTGAGAAAACAAGCCCCGAAGGTGAAATGCTTTACCTGAGGTCACCTGAGAGAGGAACTGGGATTGACCCTAGGTCTCCTGTCTACTCTAGTTTCCTTCTTCACCAGCGTTCAGAGGGGCAGTCAGAGTGGGGTGGCCCCCCCAGAGAGAGTCTGTATGTGCCTTATCCCAAGATGTGCTGGGAAGCCATAAGGATGCATAGAAATATTTGTCCTCTTTCCCTGAGTATCTCAGCTCCTCTCCTTTCACTCTTCTCTCTCTTTCCCATAATACTCTCAGCCCCTGCAGTGTCAGGTTCCATGGGCCCAACCTGGAAAATCTTAGTTTGACTTTTGGGTTCTTAAGTGGAAGGAGAGTAAGAGGAAGGAAGCACACCTTAGGCCTCTGCTAGCTGGCTCCTTTGTGGTACCTGCGTTGCCCTTATTCCTTTTAGAAGAGAAGACCTTTGGTCTCCTCTTTTTGAGCCAACAATCTACATGCTCCCCTTCTCCTTTCCCCATTTAGATCTTCTAGTCACAGACCCCCTGTGTGGAGCCCAGAGGAGGAGGCCCAGCTTCAGGAACTGTACCTTGCCCATAAGGATGTGGAAGGTATGAGGCCTTGAGGTCTGAAGAGCATGAGGAGGGCAGCCTGAGCTCCGGGACCCCTCTTCACTGCCTCACTCCTCCTCCACCTCAGGTCAGGATGTGGTGGACACCATCTTGGCACACCTGAAAACTGCTCCTCGGACACGCAAGCAGGTCATCCACCGTCTGGTACAGCTGGGACTGGCTGACAGCGTCAAGGACTTCCAGAGGTAGAGGCACATGCTTTGGAGGGAACTGAGATGGGGAATCCACTCTTCACTCCCTGAGCTCCCCCTTCCACTGACACCGCCCTGAACAGGAAAGGAACCCAGATTGTACTGTGGACGGAAGAGCAGGAGCTGGAGCTGCAGCGGCTTTTTGAGGAGTTCCAGAGCTCTGATGGTAAGTGAGGTGGAAGCTCAGGGAACCTCTGAAATGAGAGCCAAGCTCTCAGTTTCTTTTCCTGCTGCTTCCTGTTCCCAAGGAAGGCTTATCCTCTCCTTCCTGTCCACTTGCTCTGTTTGTGGTGTCATTTTTGTTTGTTTTTATATATATATATTTTTTTTATTATGTAAGTTACAGGTATACAATATAGTGATTCACTATAGTCACTAATTTTTAAAGGTTATACTCCATTTATTGTTGTTATAAAATATTGGCTGCATTCCCCATATTGTACAATGTATCCTTGTAGCTTATTTTATACCTAATAGTTTGTACCTCTTAATCCTCTACCCTTATCTTGCCCCTCCCCCTTCCCTCTCCCCACTGGTAACCACTAGTTTGTTCTCTATATCTGTGAGTCTGCTTCTTTTTTGTTATATTCATTCGTTTTATTTTTTAGATTCCACATATAAGTGATATATAATATTTCTCTTTCTCTGTCTTACTTATTTCACTTAGCATAATGCCCTCCAACTCCATCCATATTGCTGCAAATGCCAAAAATTCATTCTTTGTATGGCTCAGTAGTATCCGTGTGTGTGTGTGTGTGTGTGTGTGTGTGTGTGTGTACCACATCTTCTTTATCCATTCATCTGTTGATGGACACTTAGGTTGCTTTTATACCTTGGCGATTGTAAATAATGCTGCCATGAACATTGGGGTGCATGTATCTTTTCAAGTTAGTGTTTTTGTTTATTTTTTTGGATATATCCCCAGGAGTGGAATTGCTGGGTCATATAGTAATTCTATCTTTAGTTTTTTGAGAGACCTCCATACTGTTTTTTGTGGTGTCATTTTGGAGTGAATTGAGCTATAGCCTCTTTCCAAAGACCTCTGTTTCCTTTACTAATCCCTTTCCCCTGTTGCTCTTGGGCATTCACACTTTCTTTCTCTTTAGATATCCTGGGTAATATCATGAAGAACATCACAGCCAAACGCTCACGGGCCCGAATAGTAGATAAACTGCTGGCTCTGGGGCTGGTGGCTGAGCGGCGGGAGCTGTACAAGAAACGCCGGAAGAAGTTGGCGCCCTCAAGCTTGGTAACAGTCTTACCCTGGCTCTGCCAGCTGGGCCTGCCCCCGCTGAAGTGCTCCTTAGAAGTAGCCCACCCAGATTCTTCCTGTCTCAGGCTCTTCTGAGTAGATCCCCCCAGCGTGGTGGTCAGGAACCAGAGGACTCCACTCAGTTCTTCGTCTTGTCTCCTTTTGTTCATTACCCACCCCAATTAATTTTAGCCTAATGAAGAGGAGTCCTTGAACGATTTTTGCCAGGAAGATCTAGAAGAAGAGGAAAACCTGCCAGAGGAAGAGAGTGAAGAGGATGAAGAGAAAGAGGAGGGCTCAGAAGCAGAACAAGCCCACGGTGGCTCCGTCCTTTCAACTCAAAACCTTGGGCAAAACCTGCATCAGGAAGGTGAGGGCCCAGTTGGGAGAGATGTCTCAGGTGGTGGGGTTGGTTGTATGGGCCAGTTATAAGTTTTCCACCTTCCCTTAGGCTTTTCTGCTCCCCTCCTGTGGCTCCAGAACTGCCTCATTCGAGCAGCAGATGATCGGGAAGAGTTTGGTGAGTGGATAAATGACGGTTTCAGGAGGACTGGGGTCTGGAGGCTGCTGGAGACCTGGTTGTGGGATGGAGGGCCAGTTCTTTCTTCACATCTTCACCATGTGACCATTGACCCTGTCCTAGGCTGCTCTCAGGCAGTTCCACTGGTGCCACTGACAGAAGAAAATGAGGAAGCAATGGAAAATGAACAGTTTCAGCAGCTGTTGCAAAAGCTAAGGGTTCGGCCTCCTGCCTCTGGGCAGGTAAATACACCAGTTACAGCATCAACCAAGCATGTTGGTGCTACTTTAAGATACATCTGCTCCTCCTCATTTCCTGTCACCTCTGACCGTGACTCCTGCAGCAGCTGTCTTGCTAATCTCTCCAATCTTCCCTTCTCCTAAACCCATCTTCCACACTGCCCCCGAGTTATCTTTCTAAATTACAGTTTTGATTATATCACTCCCCTGATCAGAGCACTTGATGGTTCCCCACTGTTAGCAGGACAAAGTCCACAGCCTCCGGGGCGGTGTCTCTGGCCTTGGCCAGCCATTGCAGCCTCACAGCCACGTCACCACACACCTGCCTGACACTACAGTCATCCGGAGCTACTTTCAATCCTCCAAACAGTAGGCTTTTTCATACCTCCAAACAGTTGATCATGCCAGTCCCCCTACTGGAAGGCTCCAGCCTCATACACAAGGTGGCAGATCACCCATCTTTCCTGATGAACACTCCACCCAACCTTGAAGAGTTAGTTCAGTTGTCACTTCCTCAGAGAAGCAGTCTCTATCCCTCCTTCAACCCCCCCACCCCGACACGAAAATTCACAGATATTCAAGTCTCGTATAAAATGGCATAGTATTTGCGTATAACCTATGCACATCGTCTCTAGATTAATTGTAATACCTAATACAATGTAAATGCTATGTAAATAGTTGCCAATGTGCAGCAAATCCAAGTTTTGCTTTTTGGAACTTTCTGGAATTTTTCATTTTTTTCCCCAATGTTTTTGATCTGCAGTTGGTTGAATCCATGGATGTGAAACCCTCGGACACAGAGGGGCAACTGTAATCATTTTGGTGGCTGTGATTTGTTCATTCCCTTAATATAGCCCCAATCCTGTGGTGTTACAGTACATTGGTTCTTTCTCCCCTTAGATTGTGAGTTCCCTGAGAGCAAGGATCATATCTGACTCACCTTTAGATCCCCAGAATCCATTCATTTACTTATGTAATTAACAACTGTATTTACTGGGAACCTCCTGGTGTATCAGGCACTGTGTTAGACATTGGGCACATACTGGATAAATAAGCAATAAGTAGAGTTCACAACCCTTATGGAGCTTCACCAATGTAGGCTCATATTTATTCAATGAATAATATCAAAATCTGGTGGACTAGAGGCTGCTCCTTTCCCACTACTCTCATTTTCAACTTCTTTGCCCCTGTAGGAAACCTTCTGGCGAATTCCAGCCAAGCTGAGTCCCACCCAGCTCCGGAGGATGGCAGCTTCTTTGAGCCAACCAGAGGAGGAGGAAAAGCTTCAGCCAGGATTAGAACCTAAGGTCCCTGGAGAGCAAGGCCCTGAGGAGGAGCACCGAGCACATGCCCCGAGGGCCCTCCTGTCAGCCCGGAAAGAGAGAGCAGGCCTGCTGTCCCCAGAGGGTAATACCAGGACCACTTATCTATTGAGTACTATTGAATACTTACCCAGCCCTGTGACCAAGAGGGCTGATAGGGTATTTGAGACTATGAGGACCTAGTTCCCTAATTTTATGCCTCTCGTGGTCGTTCCAGAGGAAGGGACTGATGGTGGGAAAGAGCAGCTGAAAGTGGCACCCAAGAAGCGACAGCTGTTGGACAGCGATGAGGAAAAGGAGCAAGATGAGGGCGGGAGCAAAGGTAGGAGGGTCTGGTCGGGATCTGCCTTTTCTTCTAACCTCTAGCACTCTTCCCTCCAGTCCTGAAGGTAAATGCTACCATCCTCCTTCCCCCTTAACAAATTTAGATATCCTGTCTTCTCACCCCTGTCACTCCCATAGCACCAGAGTTGGGAGCTCCAGGAATCTGGAGGAAGAAGAAGCGGTTTCAGATAGAGGATGACGATGAGAGCGACTGAAGAGCCAGATGCCTAGAGGCAGAGACAGACCCATTTTTAAGTGGTGAATTTAAATCTTGAGTTTGGAGGGGCATACAGGACCTGGAAACTCCTCTTACTGGACAGAAGCCGTGGAGCCCTGGGCTTCCCCATGGATCTAGGGTCCAGGAAATCCAGGCAACAGTGTTGGCCTCCTGTTCAGTCACTTCTTGCTCCTCCCACTTTTATCAGTGTGCCTCAGTAGCTCTCTGGAGACTTATTCCTTTTCTTCTTTGGTTAATAGCACACCCTGGCAAAGGAGAGGAGTGAGTGAATATAGAAGGCACCTTGGACCCCTGTTACTGGTCTGTTCCTTTTGGCTTTCTGCTGGAGGTGGGTCACAGCACTAGATGGGGGGTTTTGTGACATGATGAGTGGGGATGTTGCACCATTTTTAAAAGGCACTAGACGAGCCCATCCTCATTTTCTTTCCTGTGATCACCCGCTGAACACCAGATTGAGCCCAGTTCCTAATGTTGAAATAGGGTTGGGATGCAGTACTCTTCAGATGATGAGCGTTTTTGGTTGGTGTTTGGCATTGAATTAAACATGTAAAATTAAAAGTTGCCAATGTTGATCTGACTTGCCAATCTGTCTAAATACCTCAACCCTCCACCTGCTATGTTCGTTTAAGAACTTTTAACTATTAGGGTTAAAAGAGACTATCAGCCTTCCCTTTTCTCTTGCTTTCCCTACATGAGACACAGAAAAACATACTCACCTCAAGATCCTTTGTCTAGGATAAATCTTCAGGGTAAAAAGAGTATGCATCAGAACAGGTACATGAAAAGATACTCAATGTCGTTAATCAGAGAAGTGCAAATCAAAACCACAATGAGATATCACCTGATACCTGTCAGAGTGGCTATCATCCAAAAGAACACAAATAACAAATGTTAGTGAGGATATGGACAAAAGGGAACCCTTGTACACTGTTGGTAGGAACATAAATTGGTGTAGCCACTGTGGAAAACATATATATGTCAATCCCAATGTCCCAGTTCATCCCACATCCCCTTCCCCCCTTGGTATTCATGTTTGTTCTCTACGTCTGTGTCTCTATTTCTGCTTTGCAAATAAGTTCATCAGTATAATTTTTCTAGATTCCACATGTAAGCAATATTATACAATATTTGTTTTTCTCTTTCTGACTTCACTTTGTATGACAATCTCTAGATCTATCCATGTCTCTGCAAATGGCACAATTTCGCTCCTTTTTATAGCTGATTATATACCTCAGTTATTTGTTTGTTTGGCTGTGCAGGGTCTTAGTTGTGGCACACAGGATCTTAGTTGCCACGTGCAGGATCTTTAGCTGCGGCATGCGGGATCTAGTTCCCTAACCAGGGATCGAACCTGGAGCCCCTGCCCTGGAGCCCCTGCATTGGGAGCGTGGAGTCTTAACCACTGGCACACCAGGGAAGTCCCATACCTCAATTGTTTAAAAAAGTATGCCTCAGGAAGAAGGAGACACAAAGGGAGGAAAAGCCAGTTTGTCAGCCTGGGGCATAGGGGAAGTCTGGGCAAGAAAGAGATGGGTAAACATTGCGAATGTCATGTCCTTCCCAATTCTTGTAAACCATTAGCTTCCTGGCCCTCTTATGTTTCCAGCTGTGGTAGAGTGAAGGTGAGATTCAGAAAATAGTCATTCAGATTAGGGAGAGCCCTAGGTCAGGGATGCATTTGGACTGTCTTGTTTCTCTAATTTGTCTTTTTTGCCTCCCATAGCCTCTGAAGGTAGAGGTGAAGCTATGTCCAGGGTAATTGGAGTTTTCAAGGGCTAAGACACATTTTACCAGTTTGAGTAAAGTATAGAAACTTTGCGTTCCCTTAGATCTCTTTACATTCCCCACTTATACTGTAATTATCTTAAATATTTCTTCTCTCTATGCTGAGAACCACATAAGGCAATGTTATAATTTTTACTTAAATCACTTAACATGATTTAGAAAACTCATGAGAATAAGATGGTATATTATTATACATATCTTTCACTCTGTTGCTCTTTTTTCATGACATTTCAAGCTTTTTTTTTTTTTTAATAATTTTCTTTCTGTTTAAAGAAATTCCCTTAGCCATTCTTTTAGAGTAGGTCTGCTGGTGACTAATTCTCTTAGTTTTCCTTAATCTGAGAACATCTTGATTGTACCTTAATTTCTGAAGGATGTTTTTGCTGTGTTTTCTCATAGAGGGAACTTTTCACACCACCAAGCTGTTGATTCTGCCAGTCTCCTAGCCCATCCTCCAAGAATTGGCTCGAATGTGCTTTCTTTTGTGAAGCAGTCTGTGTCACTTTTTTTTTTTTTTTTAATGGTGGTGTGCGGGCCTCTCACTGTCGCGGCCTCTCCCGTTGGGGAGCACAGGCTCCAGACACGGACGCTCAGTAGTTGTGGCTCACGGGCATAGCCGCTCCGCGGCATGTGGGATCTTCCCAGACCAGGGCACGAACCCGTGTCCCCCGCATTGGCAGGAGGATTCTTAACCACTGAGCCACCAGGGAAGCCCTTTGTCACTCTTTGAACCCCAAACCAAAAGCAATCACTTTTACAGCTGGGATTTGTTCATTCCCCTGATAAAGCACCAGTCTTACAGGGTTTCATCTTGTTCTTTTTCCCACTAGACTGTGAACTTGAAAGCCAGGATCAGGTGTATTCACCTTTGGATCCCACAGGTACATTCATTAATATATCCAACTAACACAACAGTGTATCGATGCCTCCTACGTAGGAGTCACTGTGTTGGGCACTGGGTGTCAATTGGATGTGATTACCCAAAGACTAGGTATACAGAGGTGAATAAAGCGATGATAATAAGGGTCCCAGCGCTTACTGATCTTCACCAGTGCAGCATTAAGCACAGAGTAGCTGTTAATACTAACAATCTGGTAAATCTAGAGGCTAGTCCTTTTGCTCTGCTGCCACTTTCTACTTCTTTGACCCCATGGGAAAACTTCCTGTGGAGTCCAGACATGCTGAACCCCGAGAAAGTTAGATGCTTCTTTGAGTCATTCAGAGGAGGAGGAAAGCTTCAGCCAGTGCTGGAACCTGAAGTCTCTGGAGGGTAAGGCCTGAGGAGGAGTACTGAGCACAAGCCCTGAGGGCCCTCCTGTTAGCCAGCAAAAGGAGAGCAGGTCTGGTGTCCCAAGGGGCTAATAGGAATGCTATTGATTACTTATGTACCAGCCTTGCTGGTCTAGGGGGCTGATGAAGTTACTTCGATGCCTCCTAGCTCAGTGGGAAACCAGGCTGATGGGGACTGACAACTAAAAACAACACCCAAGATTTTTAGGGCAGTGAAAGTATTCTCTATGATACTGTAAATGTAGATATATGACGTTATACATTTGGTAAAACCCATAGAACTGTGCAATGCAAAGAGCTGAACCCTAATGTAAACTGTAGACCTAGGTAATAATAATACGTAACATTTAAATAATATAACAATCAAGTGTAACTAAGGTACCATACCAGTGGAAGATGTTAAAAATAGGGGAAACTGAGGGGTTGGGGGAGAGGGAATATTTGGGAACTCTGTACTTTCTGCTCAATTTTTCTATAAACCTAAAACTACTCTAAAAAATAAACTTTTTTTTTTGGACTCTGCTTCTTGAGCCATTTTATTTTATTTATATATTTGTTTTGGCTGTGCTGCATGGCTTGTGGGATCTTGGTTCCCCAACCAGGGATCAAACCCGTGCCCCGTGCAGTGGAAGCATGGAGTCCTAACCACTGGACTGCCAGAGAATTCCCAAAAATGAACTATTAATTAAAACAAAAAACCCATCATCCAAGAAGTGACAGCTAATGGGAATTGATGAACAGATAGAAGATGAGGACAGGAGCAAAGGTAGGAAGTCTGATTGGGGGGACCTGGCTTTGTCTTCATCCCTCTGTCATTCCTCAGTCCTGGAGACAAGCTCACCACCACTTTCCATCCCCCTACATATTTGCACAATCTCTCTTCCCTGTCATTCCCAAGGCACCAGAGTTGGAAATTCAAGGAATTTCAAGGAAAAGTAATTTTCATATTGAGGATGAGGATGACGCTGATTGTAGAACTGGAGGTCCAGTTATGGATGGTGAACTCAAGTCAGAAATGGGAGACTCTGGCAGGACCCAAAAACTTCTCTAAGCTGTCCGGAAGCAGTAGAGTCTTGAGGTTTCCTGTGGACTTAGGGTCCAAGAATTTCAGGCAATAGTGTTGGATACCTCTACATCTAGTTCTCCCAGTTTTAGGAATGTGTCCCTGTAGCTTTCTGAAGACTTAACTTCTCTTATTCTAGGGACTGATTTCTTTTTGCTTATTAGGGAGCCATCCTGGGACTGAGAGGAGTGAATAAGATAGGAGGAGGGACCCAAGACCCCTTCATTGACCCGTTCCCTTTGGTTGTGTTCCAAGGTGGGTTATGGCACCAGAGAGAAACCTTTATGCCACAATGATGTGTGGACTTTTGTACCAGTTTTAGGAGGCACCATATGCCATTGTTCCTTACTGTTCAGACTACAGTTTCTCACCTAGACCCCTGTATGAGAAATGAAGCCCTATTCCTATAGTTTTGATGTAGGCTTAGAAAGGGGTACTATCAAGGTAATGGATGCATTTAATTAGGGAATTGCACTGGAATTAATGTAAACACTGAAAAGTTGCTCTTATCTGGTCTGACTTCTGGTGGATTCTATTGTCCTATTCCTCTACCTATTAAATCCATTGAATAAGAACTATTTTGGGCAACTTCCCTGGTGGTCCAGTGGTTAAGGCTCTGTGCTCCCAATGCAGGGGACCTGGGTTTGATCCCTGGTCAGGTAACTAGATCCCTCATGCATGCGCAACTAAAAGATCCTGCATGCCACAACTAAAGACTCCATGTGCCACAACGAAGACCTGGCGTAGCCAAATAAATAAATAAAATATTTTGGGCAAAGTTACAGTTACCAAAGGGGAAACCGGGTGGGGGGAGGGATAAAGTAGGAGTTTGGGATTAACAGATACACACTGCTATAGGTAAACTAGATGAACAACAAGGACCTATATATAGCACAGGGAACTATATTCAATATCTTGTAATAACCTATAATGAAAAAGAATCTGAAGAATATATATATATATATATGAATCACTTTGCTGTACACCTGAAACTAACACAACATTGTAAATTGTAAATCAACTGTACTTCAATTAAAAAATAATAAAAATTTTTATGGGCTTCCCTGGTGGCGCAGTGGTTGAGAGTCCGCCTGCCGATGCAGGGGACACGGGTTCGTGCCCCAGTCCGGGAAGATCCCACATGCCGCTGAGCGGCTGGGCCCGTGAGCCATGGCCGCTGAGCCTGCGCGTCCGGAGCCTGTGCTCCGCAATGGGAGAGGCCACGGCAGTGAGAGGCCTGCGTACCGCAAAAAAAAAAAATAATAATAATAGTAATAATAAAAATTTTTAAAGAACTATTTTGGGGTCTCCTACCCAGAAATCACTGGTATCCCTGCCTTTCACCTCTCACTTCCCCAGAGGAGTTTTTTCTCATCGAAGTTTAGGTCTAGAGAAATCCTTAGGATGAGAGGGATACGGGGCAGGAAAAGGGAGAAACC